GGTCTGGAATTTTGGAACTGCTCTAACTTTCTTCTTTCCCTTTTACCTAGGAAAGATGCTGGTTTTGGACTACATCCTTGCTGTTACAAAAAGCACCAGTAATGACAAAGTGGTTTTAGTGTCTAACTACACTCAGACACTGGACTTGTTTGAAAAGCTCTGCAGGAACAGAAGGTTTGTCTTTGGGTTTTATTTGTTTAATCCTGCAAGGCTGTACTTGCAACCCACACTGTATTTTTTCTTGAGATCTTTTTTCTACCTCAGATGTTCCTAAATTGGAGCTGATGTGACTTGTGCTTTGGTGACTAGGATCACTCAGCAGAAAGGCTGTGGCCCTCCACAGAAGCTCCTAAAGCTGAGGCTCTTGTTACAAGGCTGTTTGTGAAAGTTTTTCAAGTAGGATGCTTTGAAGATGGCAGCAGTCTAATTGTAGAAAATGCTGTATATCCTAGGTATTTATATGTCCGTCTGGATGGCACCATGTCCATCAAGAAGAGAGCAAAGATTGTGGAGCGATTCAACAGCCCCTCGGTAAGTAGAACCTGCCAGAAGTGAGCAGATGTCCTTCCAGTTCTGAATGCTGTGAGTGAAAATATGGCTGCCTCTGGAGTTTAATCTGAGCCTGCCTCTTTCCACAGAGCCCCGAGTTTATCTTCATGTTAAGCAGCAAAGCAGGTGGCTGTGGTTTGAATTTGATCGGGGCTAACAGACTGGTTATGTTTGACCCAGACTGGAACCCAGCTAATGATGAGCAGGCCATGGCTCGTGTCTGGCGGGATGGCCAGAAGAAGACATGCTACATCTACCGACTGCTTTCAGTGAGTCTTGACTTCTCTACCTCCTCCACATGGAGTTCTTGGTGGCAGCCCAGACTGAGCTGCTGTGACTGGGACCAGAAGGGTGAGAATTCTTTTGTGTTAGTGGCCAGAATTGGTTGGAACTTAATTGCTTCCTGCCCTTAGACGTGTTGCCACAGAAAACCTTGAAGGTTCAAGCTGAGGAGTTCGTTGCTATAGGCTTTGGTTTCTAATGGTGATGAGCTTCTGAGAAATAGAAGCAGCTGTGGCTTTCCAGATAAAATGCTGCTTTGAAATAATTTAGCCATCTGACTTACTTAATTTCCTGAGGTGTCTGATGCCAAAGTTGCTGTTTTTCAGTCTGTCTGCAGTCTGTGCTGGTTGGGTGTCTGTGTACTTAATAAACAGCAAGTACATTCCCAGAATTGCAGCAGCTTTTGGAATAGAGCTGCCAGTCAGCAAGTGGGGTAGCTGCTCTGTAAAGGAAAAGCACAAAGGAGATCAGGATTTTCAGGATACTGTAACACTTTGTCCAGCAGTACCAGTAATGATTACTGCTCAGAAGTATCCCTTCTCTGCTTTGTTCACCTTCACCTCTCATTAGTTCAGACTGAGATTTTTTTTGTGTCAGTTTGAATTCTTTGTTTGGGTTTGGTCTTTTTTTTTTTTTAAGCTTGTTCATTGATCAATTACCATTTTACTTTGCCAACTGTGGGGAAACGGGACACATGTTCTTTGTCCATCTTTTCTTTAAGTGTTCCACTCTTTCTCTGACTTGGCTGCACCTGGAAGCAGGGAACTCCTTTGATTTTACAACTAGGAAACCAGAGAGCAAATCATGACTTATCATCCCCTTCCCTCCTCCTCTTCCTCCAAACAGTGGGTGTGATGGATTGGTGTGTCAGTGAAGTGGCAAATAATGCTGATGCTTGTGTCACTCAGGGCTGGTGCTGGTTGCTGTTTTTTGTGGGAGGTTGTGTTTGGGTTTTTTTTGTCAGGGAGTGGCTGTAGCTGCTTAGGTACTTCCCTTTCCTGTCAACACAACAAATGCTTTTCCTCCTCATCCATATCTCTATTGGATCCACACCTGTAGCTGCAGTGAAAGACAAGAGAAGAAAAGTTGGGTTAGATCAGCAACCAAATTTGGATATGGCTGGAATGTAGCTAATAAAACTTGCCCATCATTTCTGCTGGTCTGGCAAGAACTAAATGGTCCTGGCAGCTGCTGCCATTTGATCCATGACACTTCCCCAGTGCAGTGCTCCTTGAGTGTCCCAATTGTGCGGTCTCTGACTGTCTCTCCTGTAGACAGGGACCATAGAGGAGAAGATATTCCAACGCCAGACTCACAAGAAGGCTCTCAGCAGCTGTGTGGTGGATGAAGAGCAGGATGTAGAAAGGCACTTCTCGCTTGGGGAGCTAAAGGAGCTCTTCACACTGAATGAAACCACAACCAGTGACACCCATGACAAGTGAGTATACTGAATAACTAATGGATGAGGTCAGCAAAACAAAACCAAGCCACTCCACAGTTTAATTCAAGGATTTAGGTTCCTTGGCAGCAGGAGGAAGCTCAGGAAGAGAAGGCCTCGAGTGTCTCTGTTTTTCAAAGCTGTTAACCACCTGAAGATGAGCACTTTGTTGCTCTCCTCCCTTTTTGTTGTTCAGCCAGTACAGCTTTTCTAAGACAAGTGAGCAAAGTAACTGTGAAATACATGAAATGAATAAGAATGAAAAGAGAGAAATTGATCAGAGCTGTTCACATTTGTAGAGCCCAATTTGGTCCTTCCTTGCCACTCTCCTGAGGGTTTATGATCTCCACATGCTGAGCTTCTTCCACTGCCAGGGCTACTCCATCAGCTAAGAATTCATGAGGCCAATCCACGTGCTGTTCTGGGGACTAAATGAATCTTCTCCATTGTCTGCCCTTCTCCTCCATCCCTGACATTGTAGTATTGTAGCCACCAGAAGGAGGACAGAGTGCTGGAAAATCATTCACTGTGAAAGTTAAGACTCTTAGTTGAGGCAAGAAATGAGGAGGATTAGTTTTAAGCTGACTCTAAGCTTAGCTCTGTGTGAGTATCTTGCCTGCATGGCATCGAGCTTTGCTGGCAGGGCTGCTGCTGCTCTTTGTCTCCTTGCTGGCAGCTCAGTAGGGCATCTCCAAACCAGCCTGAGCATAACCTGGTGGCCATAGTGGGAGCCAGGGTGGAGCAGTTTGAGCACCGTGTGCTCCCTTAAACTCAGGAAGCCTGATGCAGTGCTAAGAATCTGTTAGCAGTAGAGGTGTTCCCTCAAGGTCCACTCTAAGCAACATTGCACACCTTTCAGGGGAAACTCCTCTTGAACTTCCTCCAGGTCTTGCTGGATCATTCCTACATAGGTAAACATGGAGGGGAAGTGCCCTTAGAAACAGAACCCCAGGGCTTCCAAAATATGAGTCATTCCTCATCTGTCACATATGCCAGAAGGTGGTTGCGTATATAAATGTTAGTAATTAATCCTGTCTGAAAATCCGGTTGGCAGAGTTGCAGGGGAAGGGGTGTTAATTGAGATGTTACTGGGCTGCAACCCGTGTGCTAAAGAAGTTGGGGAACCTTGCACTGACCTCATGCTGGCTTTGTTCCAGGATCAAGTGTCGGCGCTGTGTGAACGGCCACCAGGTACGGCCCCCTCCTGAGGGGTCCGACTGCACCTCTGACCTCTCCCAGTGGAACCACTGTGCCGATAAGCGGGGGCTGCAGGACTCTGTGCTGAAGGCTGCCTGGGACGCTGCTGTCACCTTCACCTTTCATCATCACTCTCATGAGGAGCAGCGAGGGATTCCCTAGCAGGTTACTGCCCCCTGTGGGGGCAAGGGGAGGCTGCTGTGGCAGTCCACCCCACTCCAATCCCTTCAAAGGAAAGGGGCAGTGGGTTGTAGTACTCGCTGGATTGTTGTGTAGCTGTGGAATAGCAGAACAGCGCCGTTTCTGAGAGGCATTGGTCAGTCTGCTGCAACAGCAAGGAGTTCATGGCTTTTTCTCTGCTGTTGTATTGTGTGCCTGAAAAACAGCCCTTTGGGGATTGGGAATACCTGGACCTTGTGTGCTTGATTGGATTCAGCCCTGCTTCTCGTGCTGTTGGTGTCTGTGCCAAGTCTTGTCTTCAGGTTTAAGTGAAGCCAGTTTTATAGCAGTTGATGTGCAGGGTCATGTTTTTCCCTTGACAGCTGTGGCTTACAGATCCTAATCAGAAACTTGTAGGATCCATTTCTGTTGTGAAATGTGAATCTTGCTGATTACTCGAGCAAAAGGATTCATATGAGGGAAACAACTTTCAGGTTGTATAAACATCTGTCCTGAAAGATCATGGAGGCATAGGTAATCAGGCTCTAGTAAGGTAACTCTATTTCTAAAACCACTTGCTTTGTTATGGGCAGGATCCCCTGATCTAGCAGAGTGTTTTAATTAGATCAGATCATTACAAGCCAGTAAATAAAATTCACACTTTGGTACATGATGGGTCTTAATTACCTTTTTATTATAAAAAAGTTACAAAAGAAGAAATTATTTGAAGCCTGTGTAAAATGGTGGGAGACTTTGGAGAGAGGCAACATCACGGCAAATAGACAGTAGGCTACTTGGTACATAAATATTATTTTTTTTATAAAGTAAAATTTTCTAAATGTAAAAGGTCAAGGCTGTGGAATTTTTTTAGCTTGTTTTCCACTATCTTTAAGGGGAGGGAGGAGTTCTTATTTCACAGATCACAGAATGGTTGAAGTTGGAAGGGATCTCAAGGTCATATTGTCCAATGCACCAGCTCAGAAGGTCAACTAGAGCTGGTTGCCAGTGGAACACAGCCAGGTAACTTCTGAGTCTCTTCAATGATGGAGATAGTTATTGATGAGATACTGGCTGAAACAACATGGAATTTGTAACAATGCTGAGTAAAATAAATAACTGCTTGTCCAGAGATCTGCAGGGTCACAGCAGCTCATTTAATATCTGTCCCACTTAAAATATTCAAACTAGAAATACAACTGTTGACCCAAATGGTTTTGTGTCACTTCACTGTGGTACCCCTTCTCCAAATGAAAAGTGACAAGAACAACTGTACCCTGCTTGAATGAGGGGGGAAAAAATCCCACTTGTGCTATAAAGTTATTGGCCAGAGACAGCACTGCTTAGGTTGAAGCTGATCAGTTTGCTCTTGCCTCCATCACATGACACTGATGTAGTCAGCAAAGGCCTGGGAGGAGTCCCAGGAGTCATTGACCACACTGCACACAGCTTTGAGACGCCGCAGGGCTTCCTGAGCTGTTTCAGCATCCTGGTCCAGCCAATTTTGGAAGAGGCGGAGGTGTGTGAATTGAATCTGTCCCCCTCTCTGCTGGATGTGGCCTTCCAGCTTCTTGGTGAACTCCAGGAGCCCATCAGGTTTGATGCAATTTGAACTATTCAGGGAAAGAAGGACCAAAAAATAACCAACATACCAGTTTCAGTAGGAGTCTAGGTTATAATTTGAGCAGTTTAAATTAACTGCCAGTGCAGGCACTTGAGGATGTTTTAATGCAAAGTACAGCCTTCTTGAGCAATAAAAGGTGTGAGTGGTCTTTTAGTTTTGATGAAAAACAAAACTGGAGTAATATGAAGGTCTAGAAGCTTCTTAAAATTAAGGTGGTTATCACTGATCAGTTAAACATATCCTGGCCTCCTTCCTACTGATTTAAGTAGACCTAGCTGTGGCCTTAAAAAGTTGCTGGGCCCAAGCTGCTGGGTCAGCAGCACTTTAATCTCATAGTACCTGTCTAGTGCTTGGACCAAGGACCTGGCCCACCCTGCAGGCACATGTTCATTTATCTCTTCCTTCTGAAAAAAGCTGGAGAGCATCTGTCAGATCCTGGTCTTTCCAGGAAACTTAAAGGTCATTTCCCCTGCATAGATGTGTAAACAAATATGAAGCTGCATGATGGACTTAATTATGTAGGATTCAAAGCTGCTGAAGGAGTGGCCAGGGTTAAATAAATGGCCAAGCCTTCATACTCTCAGCAACCTGAGACATTAGAATGTAAAGAAAAGGGGAGGGGGGAAATGAAGCAAAAAAGTCATTAGCTTGCAGAAATGCCACCTTCCGTGTGCTTCAGAAAGATTACTGTCCATCTTTATGGCCATTCAGGCTCAAAGAGCAGCAGTTTAGGTACAAGACCAAGGACGATGAAAGGAATGCAGATGCCTTCACAGGATCTGCCTGGGGCACTGACATCACTCTGCCTTCTCCAGGGCAGTGGGATGCTGAAGAGAAGAACAAATTTACTAGGAAGGTTACTTCCCAAGTGCAGTGCAGGAAGGGCCTGCAGCAGCCTCCCAAGGGGGCAGTAAACCAAAGATGCTTTTAAAGTGGACCTTAACTCATTTATAAAAGGGACAGTGAGATGCTGGAGGTCCCTGAGGTTGTAGGTGCCCATAGCAGAGTTTCTCTAAGCTTTTATTGGACGCATGTTCCCTTGAGGAAGAAACAAAACCATGCTCAGGCTTCTGCTGTCTGAGCTCAGTTCAGCTCTAGCCCTCCTCAAACAAGAAATTCAATGTGTTTAGAGCAGAATACCTGACATCCAGCTGGCAAAGAGAAGAGGATGAATCTTCAGAGAAAATATCTGCAAGGGCAACCAGCCTGTGATTCCCTAAGAGGAGAGAAATGAAGGTGTTAGATGTGAACTGGGAACACTCTTAAATATTTAAATGGCCACAGAGCTGGGATAATAGTGCAGAAAGGAGGCTGTGAGCATGTGCATGTAGCACAAAGGGCTCATCTCTACACCTTCAGTTGCCTAAAGCAAATTCACCCTACTGAGCAGTGTTCAAGGCAGTGTAAACATTTGCTGATAGGGCAGTTTGTTTCACTGGAAAAATCCTGGTTTTGTTGGAAAAGTGAATACACAGCTTTGTTTTAAAAAGGACAAATAGCACAGGATTAAACTCAAACCTCAGAAATGAGGTGTATTTCAGGCGATCCCAAGCTTTTCAATTCCGTTTCATTAAAAGAACAGAAAATATTCTGGATTTACCTGAAATCTATTTCTGACATTTCTTCTTGGCCTGTGATACAAAAAGTCTATCATTTCTGTAAATGCAGTTCCATTTCTTTGACACTAACTCTTCCTTTACTTATCCCCATCCCTCCAGTGGCTGCCAGCAGCTTTTAAGGCACAAAATCCCCAAACTTGGGCAAAATTTGTGCCTCTGGATGAGAGGCAGTGTATTTGCTGCTGGATCTGTTCGTGATTAAAAAGTCTGAAGCAGATCAGTGTTCAGTCAGATCCAGAGTCCCACTGATCATTGCTTCTGCTGCAGACAAAAGCAACTGTAGTGCCCGTGGAACACCTGGGCTCTTGGTACATGGCTGAATGGAACAGAAATTCTGCCTTTGTCAAAGGAACTTGGTACTCCTCTGAGTTCACTCTGCTCATGCATGCATGAAGCTTGGCACAGAGGTCACCCAGCTAGCAATGGTCCAAACTCCAGCCCTGAAGTTATCTCCAAGAAAGCTGGTCTAAAGTCAAGGCCCCACAGAAACACCCACAATACCCACCAAGGCGATTCCCAGGCAGTTTGAGGCTCTTCAAAGATGAATTTCTTTTCACTGTATTGATTATTTCCAACAAAAACTCAGTAGTGGAGCTTTCAAACAGCCGGCAGAAGGAAAATGTGATTTCTGCAGCAGAAAGGGATTGACATGCACTTTAGTACTCCCTTGCACACTTCATTATTCCATAATTACATCCTGCAGACAGCTCCAGCCCCTAATGCGTATAAAAGACAAAGCTTCCCCAGCAGTGGGCAGCATACAGCAGCACTGCAGCTCTGTCACAGGAAGAGAGGAGAGATCACACCCAGGGAAGTGACATTGCCAGCTGACCTAGTTAAAGGCTAATGCACTCTGCAGGTTAGAAACTTCTCTTCTACAGCGGAGACTACGGAATCCTCTCTGCAGCACATACCAGCTTTGCAGCTGCTCCTCTCTGCCCTGCTGGCACAACAAACCAAACTCAGCCCCACTCTGCCAACAGCTACAAATTGGCCCCAGTGACATTTGGCTAAACCTGGCACATCCAAAGATGACCTCTTAAATGTCAGGCAGCCAAAAGCAGCCACCTGCAGCACCTTTACAGGCACCAGCACACAGGAGTTTGCTGTACCTTGCAGGACAGGATCCTGAAGCAAAAGCAGAACTTCTTTCTGGTGCTCAGCCAGGTTCACATCGTGAAAGCTCAGCTTCTTCAAATTTGGATTACACTCTAAAAGCAAAACAAGTTCTCAAGTAAAGTACTGTAAGTCCTCGAGATAAAAAGACCCTGACCCAATTACAAGCTAATGCCCAGAAACTGAGTTGGACTGTGGATAATTTGTGCTGGATGGCTGGTAATTAAAAAGGAACCATCCTGCTGTGCAGGATCATTCACATGCTCAGCACAGAAAGTGGGAGGGCTGATACCTATTCTTTTTCTCAGGAGACTTTGAGGATGTCCACACTGAAGAAATTGACCCAAGCATGGAATAACATAGCAGGAAAACTCCTCTGTGTGTCACAATGATGCCTCCTGCAGGTTAGCAGAGTACCTTTGAGGGCTTTCAAAAGGAGCCCAAGCTCCTGCGAACAGGGCAGCGTGGCACTGTCAAGGGACAACTGCTGGAGGGACTTCGATGCCTTGAGCACTGGCAGCAGGAA